AAAAAACAATTTCTAATTTCACTTGGTTTCCAGCAGTTGATGACCCATACTTGGATCTAGGCATAAAGAAAACAGAGTCTATTTTGAGAAGAGGTAAATAACATAAACATGGTATTAAATTGTATAAATTTAAAATATATTAGAAAAAATAGAGGGTGGCACAAAATAAAGTTGTATGTATTGAGGGTTGGAAGTGAGATTCATGATTGGAGTGGTCCTTTTCTATGGTAGAATGTTATAAGCCACAGTGGCTAATAATGGTGGTAAACTATTATATATGTATGTATATGTAAAAACTAGAGGCCTGGTGCACGAAATTCGTGCACTAGAGGGGTTTGTCCCTCAGCCCAGCCTGCACCCTCTCTAATCTGGGACCCTTCAGGGGATGTCTGACTGCCAGGGATTGGGCCTAAACTGGCAGTCAGACATCTCTCTCACAATCTGGGACTGATGGCTCCCAACCGCTTGCCTGCCTGCCTGATTGCCCCTAACCACTTCTGCCTGCAAGCCTGATTACCCCCTAACCCAGGAGTGGGCAAACTTTTTGACTCAAGGGCCACAATGGGTTCTTAAACTCGACCAGAGGGCTGGAACAAAAGCATGAATGGAGTGTTTGTGTGAACTAATATAAATTCAAAGTAAACATCATTACATAAAAGGGTACGGTCTTTTCTTTTTTTAGTTTTATTCATTTCAAACGGGCTGGATCCAGACCGCGGGCCGTAGTTTGCCCACAGCTTCCCTAACCACTCTCCTGCCAGCCTGATTGATGCCTAACTGCTCCCATGCTGGCCCATTTGCCCTCAACTGCCTTCCCTCTCCTGCAGGCCTGGTCACCCCCAACTGCCCTCCCCTGCTGACCTGATTGACCACAACTGCCCTCCCTTGCCAGCCATCTTGTGGCGGCCATCTTGTGATGACATGGGGGCTACCATCCTGTGACCACATCTTGGTGGCCATCTTGTGTGAGGGCATGATGGTCAATTTGCATATTACTGCTTTATTATATAGGATAATACAAATATACATACACATATATTTTATATAACACACAAATACTTTTAATTTCTAAGTGCAGTTATACAGAAATTAGGGTTAATGGCAAAAGAACATTATTTGAAATATGTTCTTGGTCTTTAGTGGCAGGAAAGCTGATCACCAGTACTGACAGAAAAACTGGTCTGTCTGCAGTGGTTGCAAAATGGAGCTAAGAGAAAATGTGAGCAAGGAACAAAAATGTTGGGATAAACAATAATAAATAGAGAGGCTAGAAGAGTTAGGAAAGATGGCAAATCCCTGGAAGTTTATGATGAAAAAAGAACATCATCTAAGAAGTCCTTGCATTATCTGCCCTCTAATAAAGAGAGAATTAATCTGTATTTTTTTATGTGTCAGTGAATGGCTTACTCTTTGTAGTTTGACTCAAAGTAATTCTGTTGGTAAAATCACCACAATCTGTTTTTATTACATAAATGTATTTAAAGGCAGTAGTTCAGTTGAATGAGTTGAGTAGAACTATTTCCAATGCTTAGTGCATTGTTCAAATCCAGTATGATGAAAATATTATAATGAAACATCAATAAATATAAGCTGAAATTTTAATTTAATTAACATTCTGGGATAAAAGTAAACAGATTAAGCAATAAACTATTGTTCACTCCAGAACTAAATAAATATTTATTCAGCCTCTGTGACATACCAGTGACTTTAATGGTTGAACTTATGTCAACCTTGCTTCTTGGGTAAGCCATCAAGCCAACCCTGCAGTGCTCTCTCTCTTTCCTTTCTAGGGATATATGAAGGAGCCCTCCTTAGATAGATATGCATCAGATGGGGAGACCAGAGGTCTCAGAGACTGGCGATTGATCAGGAAGGACTTTCAACTGAATACAGGCGTGTGGAAAACCCAGAGCTGAGAATACACTGGATCCTGAAGAGATATCAAGTACATGATTAGGGAAACTTGAGTTCAGTTTTCCCATCCAGGGTACCATATAAGGGCTTTGGTGACAACATCTAAAGTCACATGTACTAAGTCACCGAAGAGCAGGACTTTATTCATTTTTCTTGTTCACCACTGAATAACAAGGGACTGACATATAGTCTATTCTCACACATCTTTGTTCATGGAGTGATTGAAAACTGGGAGGACAATGGAATAAATTCAAAAATAAGAACATGGCTGAAAGCAGTGAAGGCAAGATGCTCCTTTGAATTGAGTGCCTGGCTGTAGGTGCTGTAGTTGGTGGTAGGCTTCTTGCTGTTTGTTAAGAACCCCCTACTTAAAAACAAAGTATGCGATTGGGCAACGATATTTTGTTCAGTGCAAGTTACATTCCTGAGATGTTGTTATGAGGAGTGGGAAAGAGACATTCATTTTCATTTGCCCTAGGTATCAAAGTCACTATCTTGACTTCTTAATGGTCCTAAATGCATCCTTGTATAACCATAGGAAAATGGAATCATTCTGAGAATAAACTTATTTGTACTTTATGACCACTTAGGCCAGTGATGGCGAACCTTTTGAGCTCGGACTGTCAAAATTTTGAAAAACCCTAACTTAACTCTGGTGCTGTGTCACATATAGAAATATTCACGATTTTTTTTTTGATATTTGCAACCATAGTAAAAAAAAAAGATTTATATTTTTGATATTTATTTTATATATTTAAATGCCATTTAACAAAGAAAAATCAACCAAAAATATCTATAGAATGAACAAAAACAGAAAAACAATGTACATTTAGGAAAAAATAATAATAAAAACAATGATAATCAAATGGTACGAAAACTAGAAATTAGTGACTTTTTTGGTGCTGAAGTTTGTCTGCTTTTCTTCGATTGCAGGTTTATACTTGGTGCACTTCAAGGCCAAACAAGCACCACTAACTTCATCTGTTAGCCGGTTTCTTTTGTTCATTTTAATATTATTTAATGCTAAGAACAAAGTCTCATAAAAATATGTTGATGAAAAAACTGTTAGCAAGGCCATCGCTAGATTTTTATGTCGCTAAAAGTGTCAGGTACTCTGTTCCAAGCACTCAAAATTTCTTGTTTTTAGTTGCACTCTTCTTCATTATTCAAACGATTTTGTTCCAGATTTTCAAGTTTCAACCTTTAGTCGACAAACACATGAGTCCAAGTGCTACCTTGAAAATCTGCAAGTTTTATCTCTAAGTCGTCAATTTGCATCCATTGGAAATCCCTTAATTTCAAAGTACTGTAAACAACTACATCCAGATACTTAATTATTTTAATGGTCTGTTCTAAGCTTCTAAATTGGTCAAATCTTTTGCTGAACTGTTCAAATAATGAGTTTACTATATTCTGGTATATAAGTATGGACTCCATTACACTTGTTGTAGTGGCCTTCTCAAAATACTTCTTTATCCGAGGAAAATACTTATAAGTTTTAGTTTCAATATCTCATTTGAAAATTTTAAGTTTACTTTCAAAATATTTGATGTATCCAAACATAACGTCAATACTTTTGCCAAAACCTTGTAATTTTAAGTTCAGTTCATTCATATGAACAGAGAGATCTGTAAAAACATCAAATTGCTGACCGACTTAAGATCATTGATCTGAGGAAAGTTTGCCAGATACTTATTCTCAATAAATACCATAATTTCTTCAAAGCACTCCACAAATCGCTCAAGTACTTTACCTCGACTCAGCCATCTCACATTATTGAACATCAGTAGTCAACTACTGATTATTGAACATCAGTTGAATCAACTTCCTGTAAAAGTGCAGTAAATTCTCGCTTGTGAAGGGGTCGAGAAGCTATAAAATTCACAATTTTGTTACACCTGACATTAAATCATTCATTCTGAGAATCTCGATTTGGCACACAACACCTCCTGATGGATAATGCAATGAAAAGGTGCAAATGGATGTCTAATAGCTTCCAAAAACAATTTCAGGAATCCCACATTTTTTCCCACCATATTTGGTGCCCTATCTGTTGTGACTGACACAATTTTAGAGATATCAATGTTTAGGTTACTGAATGTTTTTATAACAACCTTACATATTTCGTTTCCTGATGTACTTATTGGCACTGATTCTAACCTTATCAACTCTTCTCTCATTGTGAGACCAACAGAATATCTAGCAATAATGGCCAACAGAGCATTTGATGTGACATCAGTAGTTTCATCAAGAGAAATCGAAAAATATTACAACTATTTAAGTCTTTTTTTAATTGACGTTGTACGTTTTTGTTAAGATCTATTATTCTGTCTTTGATAGTATTTCTACTGAGTGGTAACTCAGAAATTCTTTTAATAATATCATCTTTATTTTTCATATCGTGAAATAGAGCTTGTGCACATCTTAGAAATGTTTCCTTAAGAAATTCTTCGTCACTGAGGGCTTTTCCATGCTGAGCTATGGAGTGAGCAATACAGTAACTTGCTCATATTAATTTGTAGAGCATCTTACAAATTTAATGATGGAATTTGATTGACTTTTATAGAGGTGTAGCTGCCTAGAAATGTATTCCTTCCTTTCATTGATACTTTTTTTCAAGAGCTGACAATGATTAGCTTCAAAATGTCTCTTTACATTCCACGTTCTGCTTAATACCGGGTTTTTTTTGTTTGTTTGTTTTTTTTGCGGGGGGGGGGGTGTTGACCTTTGAAATTGTCTTTATTTCTGATCATTCCTTTACAACCATACACCTCAGCATTAACTCCCACACATGCAGCTGGAGCGCAAACCCCCCCCCTCCCCCCCAAGCTAATCAGATTCTTATTTCTGATTCTAGGACACTTGCCCCATGAGGTCCCATGAACTCCCCAACATTTGCCCCTGTAATCGTGGACCTGGGCTTGGTCCCTTCCTTTCCTAGTTCACAGGAGCATTAATCTGGAACATGGGTTCCCCCTGCATAATACACTGTGTTCTATATGACAGCTTCCAAGGGCCCAGAACAAAGCTTTTGCTGAGTGATCCCACTGAGCAGGGTCATTACAGGGGCAGAGCATGGGTACACGTCATGAAAATGCCACGTCATAAACGTTAGTGTTGCCACATGTGTGACAGCACTTGCCGCAAATATAGATGGTCCTGGTCTGTCCTAACTCCCTCAGTATCGCCTTGAGCTCAGCCCGGATCTGGGCAAGTCTCTCCTGGTTGAGGATCCCCTGGATCCTGTAACACTCCAGAGGGACAGGGTACAGCTCGAGCTCTAAACTGCGCAGCCCGGCTGTGTGGCGCAGCAGCTTCTCCACGGTGGCCACGCAAAAGTTGTTCATAGAGATGGTGAACTCCCTGAGCTGCTGACAGCGGCTCAGGACAGGTAGGATGGCCTCGACTTGGGAGTCCACCATCCCACAGTTATCTAGGCGCAGGTCCTGGAGGGTGGGTGCCACTGCCTCCAGCAGAGCTCGGAGGGGCTCAAGACTAAAATCCGCCAGGCTGAGGTGAAACAGATGCAGGGACTTCAGCTGCCTGAGGTTCGGGCACTGGAACAGGTGTGTCAGGTCTGAATGCGTCAGCCTCTGGCAATTTTCTATGCAGAGTTTGTCCAAGGGGGTCTGCAGGCACCTGAGTATCTGGTCTAGACGGCCTTGGAGGAAGGAGGGACAATCCATGTTGAGATCCCGGAGGTGCCGCAGCCTGAGCATCTGAGAGAGGAATTGGGAAAATGATCGCTGCTCCTCCTGCTGTTTCCTGTCCCAATCCTCTTCCTCTTCCAACTCCTCTTCCTCTTCCAACTCCTCTTCCTCTTCCCGCTCCTGCTCCTCCTCCTGGTCCTCCTCTGTCAACACCTGAATGCGGGAGAGAGAGAGTCTCTGCAGGTTACTCATCTGACCCAGGTAAAGAGCAAACGTCCCCAGGGTGGGCAGGTCCCAGGTGCAGTTCACTTCCACCTCCTGGATGCACTCCAGCTTCACCCTATCCAGGACCTTGCTGACCCTCTGGAAGGGCACCTCAGAAATCCTCAGTGCCTTGCAGCACAGGTGTAGCAACCCTTCCCTCTGCTGGGCCCATTGGATGATGTACTTGAGAAACTCATCCCGGTCGTCCCTTTCATTGAAGTTAAGGTCTAGGAACACCTCCAAGGGAGCCAAGGGGTGCTCCTTGTTGGGGCTGGAGCTGTGCACAGCCACTGGTACTTTCCATGAGCAATTCCAGGTGCTGTCTCCACACCACATTCTCCAGAAGTTGGTACCTGTGCTCCGTAAATCCAGCACCCACAGTTTCCATCTCCTGGGCCTAACCTCCTGGGCAAGCAAAATGTCAAGCCCATCCAACACGGCTTTTAAGACCATGAGCCCAGGCAACTGCAGCAGGCCCCCCAGAGGGAGGACAGTGAAGGGCCAGGCCTGCACCATCGTCTTCAGGGGCTCCGGGATTCTCCTACGGTAGGCCTGAATGAACAGCGGCGGGAAGAGCTCAGACGGCAGGTAGTCCAGAGCTGCTATGGCTGAGGCCTGGTCCCTCAGCAGGCTCTCTCCTGCCAGCTGCACGAGTGTGGGTGGGGTCTGGATGTCCATCTTCAAAGTTCTCAGAAAGGAATCCTTCCAAAACGTCTGCTGTGAATGGGTTGGCTGGGGCTCAGATTTCAGACCTGGTGGAGAACCACGGCACTGACTGCAGAGCTGGAGGACTCTGAATCTCTCCTCTGGAGCCTGAGGTTTTTATACACCTTTTCAAAAGCTAACATCCAATCAGAAACCTCAGTCTCCACCCCTTAATCTTCTTAGGATTATTTCCTCTCTCCAGATTAATGGATTGAGAGAAAGTTAGGGAGGGGCTAGGTTGAGGCCTGTCTCATTGATTCCTTCCACAGACACTGACTGAGGTTGACTGATGGTCCCCAGTTGTCATCCTCAGTGTGAGACAGTGAAGGTGTGTTGGGGTCCAACCCCAGCAGGTCCAGGGGTCCTCAAAGGTGTGGACGGAGTCCGCGAAGAAGGAATAACACAGAGACAGTGTTAAGTTGATCAGCAGGCTAGCCAGAATCTCTAGCCAGGTTCTCCAGCCAAGTTCTGTGTTTTATTGTCTTGTTACATCTGTATTTATACCAGTTGATTTTAATCTTTTCAATTTCTATTCCAAAGGTTAGGGCGTTTCTTATCTCCATTCCAGGGAGTAAAGATTATGTAGCTTAAGGGTGATTCTTCCTAGTTAAAATGATTAACTACCCGCCTGGCATTTAGTTAAGGGGTTTTATTCCCTCCCTAACTTCAGGGAAAAATCCCTACCTGGGGAAACAACCTTTCTCAGAGAGGTGACTTTGATTAAAGCACATAGCACCAAGAAGGGGAGCAAACATATTAAGAACAGTATGCCATATATGCCAGGTCCCTTGACACATATGCTGTGCAGATGTTTCTTCCCTGCAGCGACTATGTCAAGCAGCAAGGATGGACCAGCTTCCGGCAAAGGTGTAATGGGTTCCTGAGGTTAAACAGAAAAAAAAACAACCTGAGAGCATGGTGGCTGGGGGTCTTTGGCCACATTAGAGTACTCCAAATGTATCCACAGTTAAACAGCCAACACCCACAGCTGACACCATTTGGTGTCATCCCCAAAGAAAACAAATGAAATGTGTCCATGCATCAAGGGAGGTTTTATGTCAGGTGACATAGCAGGTCATGAGCTCCACAGGGATTAAGGGGTGGGCAAGTGAGAATGTGGCTGTCCCTGTAGACCCCAAGGCTTCTCTGAGGGAGGTCAGGTAAGAATCTCCATGGGAAGCAGGGTCAGGGCTGGGCAGGATGGGGGTGGGCCATCCTAATGGAACCCTGAGAATGACTCAGGGCCATGTAACAGATGGGTGTTTTCTCTTGGAAAGAAGAGAGATGGAAAGACTCTTCTGTGGGTGAATTTAGGGTTTAAAAGGAGACAAACTGGAGGACAGACAGTGCCATCCTAGAGGGCAAAGGGAGAGATTGCATCTTCTGTTCCCTCCCAGGAGAAAAGGGTGGGTCTCCCCTGGGAAAGATGGGATTAGCTCAGCTACTGGGTGGAGAAGATTAAATCTAAGAATGTGATTAGAGGGAAAGAGGCCAGGCCTGGGAGTTGGACATTTTCAAGCCCAAAAAGCACTGAAGGAGGATGCACGGGCTCTTTTGGGTCTTGGAGCCTGGGAGAGAAATAAACATGGGCCAATCACACCTAACCCTGTCACATCATGGCAGCTGCCACCAAGTGACGTTTCTCTGAGTGAGGGTCGGGTTTCTTCCACAAAGAACCATTCCCAGACAGCAAGTGCCTTCCCTCACTACACCATGTCTCCATGGCCCCATTCCTGCCCTCATGGCACCCCTTCACTTCACCACACCCCCAGTGATCTTCCTTATGACCACCAGCTCCCAATGTCCCCACTTCAATAAGCCTGCCCCCAATATCATTCTGTTCTGTATTTGTCTGACATCGTTGTGGTCTGCAGGACCAGAGGCTCTTTGAAGCCACGGACAATCATTGCTCCTTAGACATCTGTGGGATGAATGGGTGGTTCTTGGTGGTGTGAGAAAAGCCAGCTGTGGCCAGCCCGCTGCTGCCATGTGGAGCTCTTGGCCTGCACAGCTTTCCTCTAGTTCCCCATCCTTCTCCTGCCACTCACTCACCCTACAGACACCCCTGAGCACCCATTGTGTGTGCCAGGCTCTGACTCTGGGAAACTCTGCGTTACACAGAGAAGACAGCGCCACTGAAGAGACCCTGGAGTGAGGAGAGGAGGCACTGCTGTCAGTGCTGATGCCTGTCGCTGAGCTCTCCTGGAAAAGGACGGCACAAACACAGGCTGCCTCCATGAGGAATCATGGAATTTGTCTGCAGAACAAAATCACAGCCAACCACACACATGTGGGCCCATGAGCCAAATGCACAGTAGACCCAGACATGACCAGTGAGTCCTGAGCTGGGCTTCTGCTGGCATTTCTTGCTGTGACCGGGTTGGCTGGGGCTCAGATCTCAGACCTGGTGGAGAACCACCACAGTGACTGGACAGCTGGAGGACTATCTTACTACCGTTTCATTGCACAGTATGCACAATGATCTGTTGTTTCTGTTGACAATCCCATACATCTCAGTCCAGATGTCTTGAAAGGGTCGGCTACTGCTACTTCCACTTCCTTTATCATTCATTCTTGCTTTTTTATTTTTTGATTCTCCATCACGAGGCTTCAAAAATAAATAATAATAAATCGCGGCATTTTTTATAAAAGGTTGATAGGTTTCTTACCTATTAACTTTTTGCAGTGTTGGGCATTTTGTCACTCGAGTAAAAATAAAATGTCATGAGTAAAGATTAATCTCTTTATAGCGCAATTCTTAACCTTTTTATATTAATGTCAATATTAGAACAATGTATCTTGGATGTTTTCACTATGTATCTTTGCTACACAACACCAACGTACATGTTTACATCCAGTTTTAGAATTGCATTATTGATCATGAGTAACATGAATAATAATATTACTCGAATGATGCCCAACTCTGGCCGTTGCCAGAGACAAATATTTGAATTATGCAATTTTTTGTCTCTGTCGATGTGTGTCACCCAAAATGAGTTCACGTGTCACCTCTGACACAGGTGTCATAGTTTCGCCATCACTGACTTAGGCAATATTACCTCTTTTAGTACTTTAGACACCATTTTACCACATTTAAATTCAGTTAAGTTGATTACAAAATGAACCTGAATACTAATTTTTAAGGTCTTTTGCAATTTTGACACTCTAGTAAATCAGGAATCCAAAATATGATATCCAAAACCATTCAAAATCATCTGAAGTATGGCCTGTATTTTTTTTTTTTAAAGGCAGTAAATATTTAGATTGCTGGTTGATTAGTTTCCCAGGGCTGCTATAACAAAGGACCATAAACTAGGTGGCTTAAACCAACAGAAATTTATTGTCTCACCGTTTGGGAGTGCGGAAATGAAATCAAGGTTCTGGTGGTTTGCTGACAATCTTTGATATTTCTTAGCTTGAAATGCATGACTCCAATCTCTGTTTTCATCATATAACTTTCTCCCTATGAATCGTTGTCTTCGTACAGAGGGACCCCACCCATGCAAAAATTCATGCACTGGGCCTCTAGTATGACCATAATAAAATTGCATTTGACATTCTATATTGAAATTTTTCTACAATAATTTTTAAAAGAGTTTAGCAATTTTGTTTTCTAAATTATTTAATGATATGAGTAATGCATGTACTTGATAATTGGCTATAATTTTTCAGCAGTCAGTATGTATTTTGAAATTCTTGCAAAATGAGAAATCTCACAAATTATTTTAAATGCAATTGATTCTAATAAAGTTCCTGCAATATTAACTTAGCAATTAATAACAACCATGCAATGTTATTTTTTATAGACATTAGTCTATTTTCCAATATTGCTCTTTGTTACTTTTTGATCCAAACATTTTTTTTAGCTTCAACATTACTGTGAGTCCTTGATAAGCACAATACCATTAAGCATCATATTTTCAATGACTTCTGGAGAATATCCCTAGAGTAGACCACATGCCACAATTTCACTCTTATTCACCTGGCTTACCAGGTTCACTCAAAAAAGTTGGGCAGTTCATACATGTTACCTAGATTTGTAATATTCAAATATATTGTTTGAACAATGATATCCAGATGGACCTCTTCATATCTTTAGGTTCTAATATTTTCTTTATTACTATCAAGGCAAACACACAAGACCCAGTGAAAATCAAATACAGAGTAGGATAAAAGTAGGTTTACAGTTGTTCATATGGAAAATAATACAATAATTAAGTATAATAAAAGATTTTTCATTTCCACTGAGTGGAGTAATATGTCAATAGAATTCCCACTTCTATTCCACACATCTCTTTATGAGCTGGCCAGATTTTATGAAAAGTTATCAAGGTTGAATTCACCATTTTAATTTTAGTTTTAAAAGAGGAATCAAGGTTTAGTACAGAAGTGCAAAGATAACGTTCAAACCAGTATGTACACACCCACACAAGAGCATTCCCTTGCTCACAATCACCCTTTAGCTGTACAGTAGCATTGTGTAATAGAAATTATGTATTAAACAGTGAAAATGAAAAAAAGCAATGTTATTTTTCTTAGTATTGCTTAGCAGTAGATCTGCACCTCCAGGTATGTATGATGACATTGCCATCTAATGGGTAATCCACAGAGAGATTTCACAATTCATAATGAAATGTGCTATTGCTTTCCAGATTCTGCTGATTCCAGAGGAAAATCTTCGGTTACCACATATGAGTGAAAAAAAAAAAAGGTTTTTCCCCCCTAATATGGAAAATAGTGACATAAATCACAAAATAAATATTTTTTTGATAATTCTGATTATTCCTATTTCCTAGAGAAATCATCAAAAATAAGGAATGGAAATAAACCAGATTGCTTGTTATGTAAACTGAATTAAAAGAAGAACATAATGGCAAAGAGCACAAACAAGACCAGCTGACAGTTGTGATCTAACTTAAGCAGATAGATTACAGTTTATCATCCACAACATAAAACATATGAGATCCAATAATCTTTTAAATACCTTCCTGACTTAACATTGTTAATTAAATGTTTCCTTGAGATGTAGCTGCTTCCAGTTAAGAAAATTCTTTTCAAGTAATTCTGAACCCACAATCACATCGTCTTTCTCTAGAATTTGCCAATTACTTTCCAAGGTACTCAATTTAAATGTCTTTTTTCATTTTTCAAAATCCCAAGTATCACGAAGATGCATTTTCCTGCAGTACTCTATCCCCAGAAAGAGTCATCACAATCTTAGGAAAGAGTCTTCTGAGAATTCATCTCTCTTGGTATATATTTTCAGCAACATGAATAAAGATAAAAGCAAAGAATCTGAAATTCTGTTTATTTACGCTTGCGTAGGATAACCTCATAACCTCATATACCATAAAAACTTCATTTTCTCATTTCCCCTTATCAATTAAAAGAAACAACAAACAGCGAAAACTCAGAGGGAAGGCTGGGTGGGAGTGGATGGGGTGGGAGAGGAGGGTGGGAAGAGATCAACCAAAGAACGTGTATGCATATATGCATAACCCATGGACACAGACAATAGGATGGGGAAGGGGCTGGCTAGAAGGGGTCAATAGAAAAAAGAGGGACATCTATAATACTTTCAATAATATGTTTTAATACAACTTTAAAGAAAAGGGTGTGGGCTATATTCTATTCATGGGCCATAATTTTCTGGCCCCTGCATGTGAGTTTTGCCAGAATAATTAATCCAAGCTTCTTTGTATTCTTTAACAGTTAAATCTTGGGCTTTATTGCCAGCACTATCTCCATGCTAGTGAGAGAAAATGGAAGTTTCTGTATTATGGAGGCTCTTCGTTTTTACAGCATGCCCTGAGTTGATAGTTGACTAACCTAAACCTCTCTCTCTCTTTCTCTCTCTCTCTCTCTCTCTCTCTCTCTCTCTCTCTCTCTCTCTCTCTCTCCCCCCCCCCCGACCCCCTTTGGTATGCCTTTGTTGGCTAGCAAATCCAATCCGGTCCTTAATTGTTATAATTAGTATTGCTCTCCTATCTTCCAATGCTAGAACAATTTCTTAAGGTATATATACACCTTAGGACAATATTCTGCAAGTGAAGAAAGGTTGAGCAATGATGATGCTTCTCCAAGTTAGGATTTCACCAACAACAGGCTCATTATCACCATTTGAATGTGGAGTGATTCGATTCCAGATATCCAACCAGAGTGCTCACTAAGTTCTTCCAATAGCATTTAGGTGCATTTGATTTATTTAGGTGTTCACAGTAAGCATGGGAGGAGAGTGAGGAAATAAGGAAGAGAAGAAGGTCAATAGAGGGAGCATTAATAGGAGCAGGTGATGACTACAGCTCAATTCTACTAAGAACCCACTGAACAACTAAATAACACAGTTCAGCATTGTCCCAAAGAAGGAAGAGAAAGCTGGGCTATTCAACTAACAACTCCCATCCCTAATTATTGCTTCTCGGCATTGATAGATGCCCTAAGCCCCTTCATTCAGCTCCTGGCACTGGCTGGGCACTCTTTAATGAAAGGAGGACACTCTCAGGCAAGGAGGTACAGGGAGCTATTGATGTGTCTGGGAACTGTCCGCTGCTAACCTCCAAGTAGGCTGAGCAAGTATGTGCAGGGACTGACAAATACGGAAAGTCTCTTACAGACTTTAAATGATCTGGGGAAACCACTCTGTGGAGGTAACAAGGAGTTTTGACTAAATAGAGATCATATGAAAGGAACAATAAAGTAATTTTAAAAGGATATTTAACATAATTATTTTAAACAAATAGTGAGTAAGTTAAAGTGGCGTGGTTTGAAGTGAGCAGTTAGGGCATTATGTATGGCTGCATGTAGATATCTCAGTGCTCAACGTGACAAGGGAGAATCCATGCCATGGGGAATCCTGCGACACTTCAACAAGAGGTTTTGGAAAGGACTAGGACAGGATTTTGCTTCATGTTTGGTGATTTTGGTGGAGACTGGGGATTTAAAGAAACAGATTTTGCTCTAGATGAGATGCTATGAGAGGCAGGAGGAATACTATGACTGAATATCTAACTCTTATCTAGGAGGTCATATTAGGCTGAAGCAAAACTACACAGTAATTATAAAGAAGTGGCAGTCATTCACATCAGCTGGGACAAGGGGATAGCTGATATTTTCTTTTTTTTAATATATTTTATTGATTTTTTACAGAGAGGAAGGGAGAGAGATAGAGAGCTAGAAACATCGATGAGAGAGAAACATCGATCAGCTGCCTCCTGCACACCTCCTACTGGGAATGTGCCCGCAACCCAGGTACATGCCCTTGACCGGAATCGAACCTGGGACCTTTCAGTCCGCAGGCCATTGCTCTATCCACTGAGCCAAACCGGTTTCGGCTATTTTCTGGTTATAGAATGTCCATGTGTTGTCTGTGTTCAGATATGATATGGAATGTTTTTATCTTGATCCACCAGGTCACAGAATGGCCTTGTCTGACGGTGATGTTATGTGAAATTGTTACTAGTACACCAAGGCCTAACTATGAGCATCCAGTCAGCTCATATCAACACCACGGCTCAGGAGATTATAAAAGATCCTGGATGTCAGGGGATGCTTTCCCCTTTCCCAAGAGGACACAGTCCTTTTCATTTCAAGCAATGACAAATTTTATGGAACAAAAGTAATCCTATCTAATAAAAGAGTAATATGCAAATTGACCATCACTCTAACACACAAGATGGCTGCCCCTATGTGGTCAAAGATGGCCGCCCCCATGTGGACACAAGAAGGCCAGCAGGGAAGGGCAGTTGTGGACAATCAGGACAGCAGGTGAGGGCAGTTGGGAGGGACCAGGCCTGAAAGGGAGGGCAGTTGGGGGAAACCAGGCCTGCAGGGGAGGGCAGTTAGGGGCAATTGGGCTGGCAGGGGAGCAGTTATCCATCAATCAGGCTGGTAGGGGAGTGGTTAGGAGGTGATCAGGCTGGCAGGCAGAAGCAGTTAGGTGCAATCAGGCCGGAACGTAGGCGAGCAGTTGGGAGCCAGCAGTCCTGGATTGAGAGAGGGATGTCTGACTGCCCATTTAGGCCTGATCCTAAATGGGCTTTTGGACATCCCTCAAGGGGTCCCAGATTGGAGAGGGTGCAGGATG